AAAATCCCCCCTTCCCCCCCCCCCCCTCCTTCTCGTTCTCCTCCTCCTCCTGCGCCCTTTCGACGCCCGCCAGCGGCTATCGCTGAACCTGCATCCGCCTCCCCCCTTCCCCCCTCCAAGCTCGCACGCTGACTGCCTCGACGACTGACCGAGCGAGCGCAACAGTGGCACTTCCGCCTCGCCTATTGCGCCCGCCCTTCGGCTCTACCACAATCCACACGCCTCGCCGTGCGTCTTTGCCCCCATCTGACGGCTAGCCGACCTGCCCGCCCGCCCGTCGTGTCGCTCGCCTCCTCCTCCTGCTCCTCCAAACTACAAAAAGCTTGGCTGGTGCAGCCGCCTTGCCGGCCACGTCCGTCCCCTCTTTGCTTCTTTGCCCTACCGATCCCCTCCCCTCGGCTCCTCCCTCCACCACCACCATCTCCCCCTCCTTCTCTGTTCCAGCGCGGCGCTGCTTCTCACCTCTCCGCCATCGCACGCGCTGAGCTCGACGGTGCAACACCCACGGCCGCGGAGCCAGCCAATCGCATCAACAAAGCCTCCAGCAGGCTAGCCCGTCCAGCAGCACAGCCTGCTCCTTCTCCGCCACCATGGACGGCCTTCACCACCTCGTGCCTCGCGGTCTCTACGATGAACCCGTCCTTCCCGCCGGCATCAACACGGCCAGTAAGTCTGAGCCGCATCTCTTGCCTGCATTGCCGGCCAAACCCGGGCTCGCTGCTGACCCAACTCTTTCTCTTGAACAGACCTCACCGCCGTCGCAGAGTACTATGTCTCGCACCGCATCCCACAGCGCTTCAACCCGGGCATCGTCGTCGCCTCCATCGCCGTCTCGGCGCTCGGCTCCTACTCCACCCTCCTCGTGCTCGGCAAGCGTACCTCCAACAAGGGTCTCAAGAACATCTTCCTCCTCTCGCTCGCCGCCACCACCATGGCCGCCGTCGGCATCTGGGGCATGCACTTCATCGGCATGCACATGAGCCTCCGTCCCGTCGCAAACGTCAGCTGGTACATCAAGGTCGACCCCGGATTCACCGTCCTCAGTCTCTTCGTCCCCATCATTGCGCTCCACGCCGCCTTCTTCATCGTCGACGCCGCCGTCGCCTTCAGCTTCGTCCGCACCGCCATCTCCGGCGTCTTGACCGGCCTCATCGTCAGTCTCATGCATTACTCGGCCTCGCTCAAGACCAGCTACGCCGTCATCTACAGCCCCACCCTCGTCACCATCTCCATCGTCGTCGCCTGCGTCGCCGCCACCGTCGCCCTCACCGGCTTCTTCAAGTTCCGCTCCCAGTGGGAGGACTCGTGGTGGAAGCGCATGCTCTGCGCCTTTCTCCTCGCCTCGGCCGTGTCCGGCATGCACTACATCGGCGTCTGGGGCACCTCGTACAAGGTCAAGCCTTCCACCATCTCGGGCTCCGACGAGATCAGCCTCCTCACCGGTCGCCAGCGCAACAACGTCCTCGTCATCGCCATCGGCTGCATGTGCTTTGTCATCATCTGCTTCTGCATCTTCATCGGCGTCTCGGACATGCTCGTCGTGCGCGACGCACGTCGCAAGTCCAAAAAGGTCGTCGTCTGCTCCGCCACTTTCGACAAGCAGGGCCGTCTGCTCGTCAAGCCCGACGGCACCATGCCCCTCCAGATCATCGAGACCGACGTAAACACCCGCGACATCCTCGACGCCCTTGACAACCGCCAGCCCACCTTCCAGTGGCTCTACTCGCTCTCCTGGGACTGGGGCATCATCTCGCCCTGGCTCCGCGCCATCACCTCGCGCTTCGCCGCAGAGTCGCAGAACGCCCAGCGCAACGACGCCCTCTGGAAGAACCGCGGCAAGAAGATGATCGCCCAGGGCCGTCGCAGCCTCGACCTCGGAGAGGAGCGCCGCAAGGGTCCCCAGAGCCTCGCCGACTTCCGCGACCGCTTCGTCGACGCCGCCGTCCACCTTGCCCACGAGCTCGACATCCCCTTTGAGGAGATCGGTGTCCTCTACGACCACGTCCTCCCCACCGGCACCCGCAGCAAGAACGGCGGCGCCGGCAACATGAATGCCGCCATCCACGACAAGTTTACGCCCTCGCGCCAGTTTGCCGACGACGAGAGCTCCATCAACGGTCCCGTCCCCAGCATCTTTGGCGAGGGCAACGACCAGGAGGAGGGCGCCATGCTCTTCCTCGTCCGCGAGCTCCCCAACTCGGCCGCCTCCACCGAACGCTTCCGCCAGATGGGCTACCGCATGACCGAGACGCGCTTCCTCGCCGGCGTGCTCGCCGACCGTGTCGCCGTGCAGAAGGAAGAGATGGAGCCGCTGCTCGACTCGCTCAAGGTGTACGCCAAGCGCGGCACGCGCCCCGTCGTCCAGCCCGGCGGAGTGTACTGCGGTCTGTTTGGCGTGCGTGCCTCGACGAGCAAGGAGGGCGGCCTGGATGTGCTCGTGTACAACTTTGCCCGCCACCAGATCCCCGCCTACCGTTTGCCCGACGTGCAGTGCATCACGCCCGAGATGAAGACCTTCCTCGGCTCGCTCGACCAGGCCACCATGGAGGACGCCATGAAGGTGTGCGAGCGCGAGTCGATCCGCTCGGGCGAGCGCCGCAAGTACCTCCAGTCCATCTCGTCGGTCAACGTGGCCGACAACCACGAGAACGAGGCGGAGCAGGAGGCCGTCGAGCTCATGATCCAGTTCCAAACGGCGCTCTTCATCGCGCTCGACGCGCTGCACAACTCGGTACGCTTCTACCCCAAGATCTGCCAGACGGCGCGCATCAGCGCCGAGGTGCTCGAGGTGCCCTCGAGCCTCGACGACTCGACACCGCCCGCCGAGATGATCCTCGTCCAGGCCGTGCTGCCCGAGGCACGATCGATGCACACCTCCTACGGCGCCTCGGAGGGCCAACACGTGGCCTCCGAGGTGGTGCCCACCGACAAGCCGAGCGCGGCGACGCCGTTTGTGTTTGTGCCCTACACGCTCTTTTCCAAGTCGCAAATGATGCTGCTGCGCGGTCGACAGGCGGACGACTTTGAGCACGAGGTGATTCTCGAGATGCGCAGGCGCTATCCCTCGTCGCTCCAGTCCGAGGCCGAGGAGAAGGGCATGTTTGGCGACGCGGCACCGCACCGCATCAGCCACAAGGAGTCGTTCATCTCGCATGCCGGCCGATTCGCAAAGGGATACGCAGGCAGCGACGACGACGACAAGCTCGAGACCGCGTCCAAGTTCAGCGACGACAAGGACGTCGCGTCGCCCGCCGCCAACAAGGTCAACCTGCTGCCGAGCGGCAAGCGCTGGGCCAACCGCCGCGGCTCGCGCGAGGAGGGCTACGAGTACGAGCAGCCTCGCAACGCGGATCACTCGACGGCGCTGTCGCCCGGTCGTCGCCAGTCGGTCACGTCGTCGCGCTCGCGTGCCACCAACGAGGACCACGAGATGCGTCAGCTCAACGACGGCCCTCTGGCGCGCGCCGATTCCGTGTTGCGCAAGAACGCCGAGGCCGGTGCGGGCAACAGCTCGCTGGGCATCCGACGCTTCATCCAGCAGCCTGGCAACGAGGGCACCTCGCCCGATGGCCGCTTTGTCCACCCGGTCGATGATGCGATCACGGAAGAAGCTCGTGATGCCGACCTGCGTTCCGTGTCGTCGATCGACGTTGCCGAGAAGGAGACGGCGTACCCTCCGGCTTCCGGAGCTTCGCCGTACATGCCGCAGAGCAACGTGCGTGCGCTCAACGAGGCCTCCGCCGCTGCGTTCGGCCAATCGCGCCCCGCAGCACGCCCCTCCACGGCACCGGCAAACGTGATCCGCCGCGAACTCAACTTCCTGCGCCCCTCGTCGTCCGGTGCCGGCCAGAGCCAGCAGCAGCAGCGTGCGGGCACCGGCCACCGCCAGCGACGAAACCGCACCGCCGTCGGCCACGACGAAGGCAGCCAGATCGCCCGCATCCAGTCCGACGGCTGGCACACCAGGCAAATCCAGAGCCTCGAACGAAGCCCCGCCGGAACCGCCCTGCTCGGCGTCGACTTCTAGGCTTGTGTACTTTTTATATTGTTATGGGGTGCAATCATTCACGTTCTTTTTTTACATGATACTGTCCTGCGTGCGTGTGTGCGGGGCGTAGATGGCGGTGCAGGTCGTCGGTGCAGGCTGTGGATGAGCTGGATGCCAGTGCGGCCTCGTGGGCGATGTATGCTCGAGTCAGTTGCAGCGTCCCATCGTGCCGGCGTGGGCAATGATGTGCACAAATGCCACCAGCAAATGCCGTCGAGTCATCCACCCCAAAGTCCTCCTTCCGTCCGCCAAACTTCAACGCCACCGCAGCGAAGACGCCGTGTTGACCCTGCAAACACTGCCAGATCCTCATTTCTCTCCCACAACATCGCCTCGTAGTCAGCTCACCCAGACAGACCGCCATGAAAGGTTGTGTAATTAGCGCGTTACTGTACAGCCCAACGTAGACACGAGATCACTTGCCAACCGCCGCAACCTCGGCGGCGACGAGCTGGACAAGCTGCGGCATGAGCTTGTGCACGAGCGCAGCGTCGGTGAGCGAGACGAGCAGCGCACGGCGCAGGTCCCACACGTCGCCGACGCGCGCATCGCCCCGGAGCGCCGCCTCGACCTTGTGCAGCACCTCGTCCAGCTTGGGGATGGGATCGAACTGCGTCGTCCCGTTCGGCGCCGAGATTGCGTCTGCTGCCGAGCGGTCCTCGGGCGCGCCGTCCTTGCTGGGAGGATTGCCCGCCAGCACGTCCCTGAGCAGATGCGAGCCGGCAAACATGCCGCCGGGCGCGGCCGCCTTTTGATGGCGCTCGTGGCGGAAGAGCGCGCGCGCGGCGTCGGCAATCACGAGGCGCGAGCGCGTCGCCAGCCGAATGTCGAGTGCATACCGGTCGTGGAAGCGCAGGCGGAACCACGTCGCGCCGCGAATCTCGAGCTCCGGCACCTCCGGGTCGTCGAGGCACTGCGTCGCCAGCGGTGCCACCTCGCGCACCACGGGCAGCGTGTCGCGCAGCAGCCGCAGGAAGCCCTTCCACACCAGCCGCTCCAGCTGCGGCTGCGCCACGGCGCTCATGGCGGCCGAGCGCGCCGCCACGTTGAGCGTTCGCCGCAGCTCAAATGCCATCACGTCGTGCGGGTTGGCTGCGGCGTGCTGCGCATCGAACCACGCCGAAAGCGCCTCGTCCTTGCTTTTTGCCGCCTCCACCTCGACCTCGGACACCGGCGCCGAGCCAAACTCAACAACATAGCCGCCGTTTTGCGCCACCGGCATCGCGCCGTATGCAGCCATCTCCATCTTGGGATCTTGCCAGCGCACGCGCACGAGCAGCTTCCGCGCGCCGTCCTCGACACCCAGCGTGCCGTACGAAAACACGACCGTGTCGAGCTGGAAGCGGCAGAGCTCGACGCGCTCGGCGGGCTTCTTGCAGCTGGTGCGCGCACGCAGGGCGCGCTGCTGCCAGGCACGGCTCGCATTGAGCACCTCGCGCGTGAGCATGACCATGCGCATCACGCGCTCCCACTGCATGTGGAAGATGGGGATGCAGTTGTCCACGTCGCGCGTCGAGATGGCGAGCACGCACGTGGCGTCGTCAAAATCGATCCACGTCGCCGCCGACTGCGCGTGCTGGTCCGAGGAGCTGGCGTACGCGACCACCTCGTGCAGCGCACGGAAGCGCCGCGACTTCATGCGCAGCTTGACGAGCACCTGCACGCACGTCTTGTCGCTCTCGTCCCAGTCGCACACGCGCAGCGACACGTTGGGCTTGGTCAGGTGCGCCTTGGCCGGTCCGAGCACGTCCGCAGCGCGCAGGCACAGCGTCGGCACGAGAGCCGCGACGCCCGTCTCGACCGCCTGCTCCTGAGAATCGACCCCAGCGGGCTCGGCAGCCGCCTCTGCCTCCATACCCTCGTCGTCGTCGTCGTCGTCGTCGAACAGACCGTTGTCCCGCGCATCAACGTGCGCGTTGGAAGTGGCGGGCGCAACGCGTCGTCGCCACTTTGGAGGCGTCGCCGAGTCGGCCTTGCTACCTGCGACGTGCAAGTACGGAATGCCGCGCATGCGCAGCTGCTGCTCCACGCGGAAGTACGACACGAGCGCGATGCAGTACGAATGCACGTCGGCAAGTTCTTCCATCGACAGCTCACGCACCGCAATGCCAGCGTCGGCCTCTTGGGTTTCCGACGTCTCTGCTGATGCCGCCTTGCGTTTCTTGCCAGCCCCGGGACCGGGCATTGCAGCATCAGCTGGGAACCCGCGTCCAGCCTTGGATGCGTTGGCAATCTTGACGCGATCGAGCCACTCGATGGACTGCACGGTCAAAGACGGTGCGCCAGAGGGATCTGGCATCTGAACCACGTAGACCAGTGCGATGCGCGCGCCTGCGAGCTCGGACGGCTGCAGAGCCAAAAAGTAGCCGGGAAAGCTCTTGCGCAACGGGATGAAGAGTTGCGGAGCCGCATCTGTCGAGACCGAAGAACCAAATTTGGCCAGGTCCTGTGGGCGCAGGCTGAGCTTGCGTACTGTGCGCAAGCCAAGGTACGAAGCCATCCTCTCCCAGTCCTGGACGCGCGCAAACACCTCGAGCCGGTATAGCACGTCAAAGAGCGCGTCGATGGAGCCGTTGATGCGGTCGGATGCCTCCGAGAGGCGCGCAGATGCCGGGCGTGTGGTGAGGATCGAGGCTGTAAATTCGGACGCCGGTGCAGTCGAACCATGCAGGCCAGCGACCGCTGCAACGGACGCCGCTTCCGAGTCCAAGAGCAATCGGCCTGTGACTGGATCGGCACTGAGGCGCAGCGGGGGCATGGTCGATACCGCCGCCGCTCGCTTGGTCCTGGCAGCGCGTTGGCGATTGCGGCCGTGTAGCTCTACGCGCAGGAAGTTGAAGCTGGTGGCTTCGGTGGCGGTGGAGAACTCGTCGCCTTGTCTGCGCGCATGCTCGACGCACAGCGTGCAGTCTTCCGGACGGAGGAGGCGAGAGACTGGGTGGTCGCTCACAAGTAGGCGTCGCTGGAGGTTGCGCAGCAAGGCGGCCGTGTGACGCTTGATGACGAGGCTCAAGGTGGCCTCAATGTCGAGGTTATGAGGATCGATGTCGAGATCCGAGGTCTCTGAATCGGAAAGAACACTGGCGTGGGCGTTCCAAATGACTCTGAGACCTCGTCGCTTGACCGCGGTCGGGCTGGCTCCGTCGCACCCGGAAGGAGCGTCGTCGTCAAAGATCTCGGCCAGCGTCTTGGTGACAGCCGCTTGATCGGGAAGGTCGACCAAGCTGATCTGAATGCTTCCGCCAACGGCAGGGCTGTCGGGCGCAGACGATGTGCCTTCGGCTCCCTGTGCGTGAGTCCAGTAGTGGACGGTGAGGCGTCGCGGACGTTCTGCGGTCTCGATGCGCAGGTTGGAGCCCCAGTTGAGGCGGCACAGCTCGTACGCCTGGTGTTGAAGGATGTCCATCTGATAGTGCAGTGCGCGCTCCTGCAAGAAAGCAAAGAGGCGCACGAGCGGAGCGTCTCGCGTCTTCGGCAGCTTGAAAGAAGCCTCCAGGTCAGCGTCAGGCTGGGTGGGTTGCGGCGATGCGTCTTGCGGCTCGGATTGCTGCATCGCAGGTTTGCTTTCGCCCTGCGTGTCTGCGGTGGATAGGACGTGTGGAGGTTCGGATGCAGTGGGGGCTGCATCTGCGTTGGCATCACGAGCGGCATCTGTGGCTTGCGAGCGCGGTGCGAGCTCTTGATCGCCCCAGACGCGTAGACGTTCGCGGTAGGCCTTTTTGGGTCGCTTGGGGAAGAGCTTGAGGCTCGACTCTGCACACGAGCCTGTAGGTGTGGCGTCGAAGCTTAGGTCGAGGAGCCACCATCTGTCGTCGGCACTAGCGGCAGAGGAGGCTGCGTCGGCAGCGCCAGATTCGGCATGCTGGTCGGGCCTGTCTGCATCTTGGTCGCGGCCTCCACTGCTGGCGGTGAGTTGGGCACGGAAGAGGCCGCGTACGTGAAAGTGCACCTTTGCGTCGTGTATCGAGTAGTCGGAGAGGGGCGCTGGGACGAGTTCGCGACAAGCCATGCGAGTGCGGAGTGCGTCTTGGAGACGTGCGACGATGGCGAGGGCCTGTTGGTCGGTCAACGGAGGTGGCGCCACAGCCATGTCTTTGATACTGGCGGGGAGTCTTCGGTAGGTGCCGGTTTGGAGGACATCGATGGCGGTGGGCAGATCTGCGTTCCTCATGCGTGCATTTGGGAGGATCTTGCGGATGTCGGTGAGGCCGGCAAAGACGTCTTCATGCTGCCACTGCTGCTCGGAGAGGAGCGCGATGATGTTGCGAGCCTTTTGAAGGTCGGGCACATCCTTGGACCACCTTGCGAGGACGAGGAGCTTGATGAACTGCTTGCGCACGTCGAGAGCGGTGCTGAAGATCTTGGCGCGTTTGGAGGAGGAAGGGAGCGAGGGCAGTGTCTCTGCGAGGTTCTGAAGCGATTCGTAGCCGTAGTTTGCGAGCCTCTCGACGAGGGCAGCAAGGGAGACGAGGTCGGTCTCTTCGAGTGGGAGTTCCTGCTGGAGCTGCTCGAGGGAGACGGTGTGGATGGGATCGAGCTGCTTCTGCTTGCCCTTGAGCTCCGAAGACACATTGCCGTTTTGAGTTGGGTTGTGGGCATCATTGTGAGGGTGGGTGTGCTCGGTCGAGGAGCGCGGTGGATTTGGTGTGGCAGCTGGAGGCACACCGATCATGAGTTTGTGCGGCGAAGAAGCGGAGCGCTTGTTTTTATCGGTAGCTGGCTGGGCCGAGTCCTGAAAGTGGCCATTGGTGTCGGTCGCCATGATGGACTTGGACGGCGGGCCAGGGATGGCAGTAGTATCGGACGAAATCGGGGATGGCCGATGGACACCGTTGGCATTCACATTATGTGTTGTCGCGGGAAGGTTGGCGCCATGCGGGGTGGATGGCATGCAGACGGGCAGGACAGAGATGGCGAGTGATGTAAGAGACCGACGCAGACAGGAAGAAGGAGAAGGGATTGGCGGCGGTGGTCAAGGCCGAGCAGACGAGACAGAGGCGGCGTGGCCCGAGCTGCAGGCAAATGCTGAGAGCCAAGAGGAGAGGTGGATGAGCCGATCGCGACTGAGCTTGGCGCACGGAGATGAGAAGAGCCAACGAGGCCTACGGAAGGCGACCGATGCGGAGAGCGAGAGCGGTTGCCGTTGTGTTGGTTGGGATGGGACGATGAAGCAGTGGATAGGCACAGCAACCGAATGCCTGCTCTACCGGACGATGTGCCTCGCCGTTGGGGCTCGAGCGAGCGCTTTTCGTCGGATGCAGTGTCGGCGTGTCCGAAGCCGGGGTTGAGCCGATGATGATGATGAGGATGAGGATGACGACAACGGCCACGAATTGCAGCTTGCCAGGTCGAGCGGGTGATGGAGAGGAAGATGGTGACGCGCGATGTCGCTCGGCGGATGTGTGGATGAGCCGAGAGTCGAGCTCTCACATCTTCCGACCGGATCGCAGAGGGAGACAGCTGCTCTGCTGCCGCTCCCACGCTGCGGTCCTGCGGTGCTTCGGTCTGTCGGCCGGTCCGCAAAAAGAGACAGACAGAGCCTTGCACGGTTGGCTGGAATTGCAGCCCGACTCCACTCGCGGCCAAGGGCACCCTGGCACTTTGGCAGAGCGTGGTCCAATTTCGGCGCTTCCATCCCCTCCTCTCTGCTTGCTTCAGGCGCGTTGGAACGCAATCGTTGTTGCTGCTGCTGCTGCTGCTGCTGCT